TTTGAACCTAGATACCATGAATGGAAGACAAAAAAATTGAACAACGAAACACTAGAATATTCTGATGGCACAATTATTGTACCTTTAATAACTACAAAGAAAAACAATGTTATGTACAAGGAAAAAGAATTTGAAAAGTCAATAAAAACTATTGTTCACGCGGATTTCTCTATGATTGGTCATTGGGTAGCCAAATGATTTCTTCCTCCTGATGAGCTCGAGCTAGTTGCTCCACCCATCCCAGCTGAACCACCTTGGCCACTGAATCCACTGCTTGAGTCACCTTGTTGGCCTGATAAACCGCTGGAGTCATGTTGTTTGGATGAGGAATAACCCATATCCTTTTGTCCACTTGATCAGCCACCCGAGCTGCTTCCACCAGACGTCACATTCTTCATGGTTCCACCTGGTGATTCAATATTAACTGCAGTCGACATCTTTTTAGAAGTTAAACGTTGAATCAATCGAGTTGATAGTTAGAGTACGATTTCGAGTGTAGAATAAGAGTGAATGAGGACAAATGGCCTTTATTTATACTCCAGCAGTGACGCCAAGAAAAATAGTTTATGAAATAGTTCACAAGTGTCGAAGTAAGACAATCGTTTCTGTGGCAATGCAGTTGGAAAACAACATGACACGTTATTTGACAACACCCAGTAAAAGAAAACTGCGTCATGAAGAAAAGAAAAAATGACGACGAAGTTCTCTTTTCTTTCAACAACAATATGATTGTTCTCGATGGCTTTTGTGAGGCTTTTATTACGTTTTCCTATCATGTGTGAAGAAACTATCCACTGTTATACATTGAAAGAAATAAAAATGGCTCTTTCAATACAATTAGAATAAATAATCAAAGAAAGAAGAGTCTCATTCTGTAGTAGTTCAAAACTCCTTAAGTTTTTTTCAATTTGCGACTCTCAGGTTTCACGATTTCATATGTTGTTCATGTGTCTTACATTGGAGTCACGCCCAAAATATGATGTGTGAAATGACAGAAAATCAATTTAGTTCTCTTAGAAGATAAACGAATCATGAGATATTTGCAAAATGGAACATCAAGTGTGACACATAGATTCCAATATATTAATTGCAACATGCAGTCATCAATAAGATGAGCAGAATATCGTTATGCCATATTAATTAATTCTCTCTTGGGTTTGGAATGAAACGTAAAGTCGCCAAAACAAAATATACGAAATCTCACATTGAAAAATTAGAGAAATGTCTCAAGCAAATATCAGCAATGAGAAAAATCTGGTCTCCCATATTGAAAGAATTGATTTATAAAGTTCATTTCAATCGAGTTGAATAGCCCTTAAAAAATGTTTCTACAATTCGTTCCTTTGGTTATCATCGATGCGATGAACATGTGTCATGCATGTCTCATACAATTAGAGTATACTGTGTCTTATGTGAAAAAATATGAACGAATGATCATCATTGTTACGGTACGAGATTATTTATTTTGTATCTATTGATCTTTACTTGAAGCATTGTTGTTGCTCTACAAAAATGTTGCCAACATAGAAAAACTCACTTGATATTTGTTATTCTTTGTGTAAATCAGAGAGAATTCTTTGATTTTCTTCATTCTGCACAAGTTAAACTAGACCAACGGTTTTCGCGTCAACAGTATGACATGAAATTATTGATCGTATCTCTGATTGACTTAATTAGCTGTTTTTTAGAGTTCAAGTCTTCAGTTGTCCACTTACATATTAAAATGTGAAAAAGTTATACAAAATTGAATAAAAAACCATACACACGAGTCAAAAATTTTCGTGCCACAATACAAATAGATTGACATGAGCGATTGACACGAGAAATAAAATAAAATAAAGTCATTTCGATTATCCGTTAAAGGTCAGACGAAAATCCTCAAGTCATTCTGGATCAAGAAGTTAAACTAATCATTTGAGTTAAACCATGAATTGCTAAAGGTTCTCTTCAAATAGTGAATTCTATTAAGAGAAAAGTTTCTTCATAGCAATCGACTTTCTTTTCACGAACAAGTGACAGTGAATGATTTGGTGCGAAGCTGAGTTTGACTATCAATAGCAAACAGAAAACAAATGATAAGAACAATCGAAGAGAATCGAGAAAGACAGATCAGGACGAGAACAGTCTCCGAAGGAACACCATCCTTAGTTATTATCATTTCTTTTTTTTCTGCATTGATGTCTAATGCAGTGAATCGTTGCTGACTGGCCGAAGTCCATTTGTTCATCTCATCCATCAGCGCATATTGAGTGGCATTTGAATCATCAAACTGCCACACTGGCAATATATACCAGAGGCAAACTGACGAATTATTGCATTAACTAGCAGAAACTCAAAGTGGGCGTGTTTCATCAAATGGAAGAACACGAAATGCATCATCACGAGACCAGACAATGCTCGAACAAGATCCGATCATTGAAGGGTGTGGGTGAGTGTGGATGTAAATGTGGAGCAGAGATGGGAGTGTGGGTATTAATGCGGATATAGGTCTTCACTTCTTCAAGACCACGCCACCCTCATTCACACCCACACTCTGATTTTATTTCACTAAGTTTTCTTTTGTTATCAATTTCTGCTTATTGTATGCAACTTTTTGCAAGGTGTACCGTTTCTCCAAAAAGAAGAACAATTTCTCTCTCAGGCGATCCAATGGTTCACTGCTGTTTCATAACAGATAACATGTATTATCATTCTCAGTTATCATTTTCTTTGTTTGAATTAATAATTAGGATAAAGAAATTCATTGCTTTTTGGCTTTAGAACTCGTTAGTCTATATTACTATGTTAAAATAATCTATTTATGTCAAATTCTTCTATTTGAAATAGACATTATATCTATATGCAATCACTTTCGAAATGGGCATTATCATGATGTAGACAACATGAAATATGCATTGAAATAAATCTATAAAATCTAACAGAGTAGGAAATCAATTTTCAATGTTGTCATTTACATACATAGTTACAGCAGAAAATGAAAAAGCATATTTTGTCTTTAATATTTCTTCGGGAAAAGTTCAGTGAAAAGATTATATATCAGTGTTGTCGGTACGGTATGGTATTTTGAAGACAACAAGAAAGTAATTTCTTTACTGTCTGTTTTGCTTTATTAAAAAAAGAATAGAATTAATATTGTATTTTTTTGAAGAGTATTATCTAGGAAAAGTAGCTGCCAGTCAAATTTTATTTAACAGTTTTATGAGTCTTTTTTTAATTAACATCAAATGACATTTAGATCTTGGTTGAATGAAACTTATATTTCAATATCTAAGAATATCTGCTTGTCTATATAACAAAAAAAAAACATTAGAAAAAATTTGCAGATATGTTACATCTTCCAATGATATTGCTAGGCATAAACTATTGATGCAATGCTAATATATTTCGTCTTGTAGAACGTTTCTTTTTACAGTTAATTTATTCATCAATAATATAACTCTCTTAGATATGTTTCTTGATTATGAAAAATATAGCTATCTTTCAAATGATAAATACGCACGTATTATGGGAAGTTTACGACATTTCATACGGACATATCAAGAAATGTATTATTCACAAAGAAATCGTTCAGCCATTTGTATCTTCACAAACAGAAGTGCAAGGGACTTAATGAGGATATTCATTTTTTCTTCTTTTCTGAAGCACGAACCAGAAGAAATGTTGAAGTATTTAGGGTAGAAATTTGCATCCATTCCCGCCTCCTCTCCTCATAGATCGTGACAGACCTTTCGATAGACGATTAGCGATTATATATCACTAGAATTTTATGAGAATATATTAACTACTTCCTTATTGCAATTCTAGGGGATTAAGTTATATCGAAGAAAACAATATTCACATGATTAGTAACAGCAGCTACATCTTGTTTCACTTTTTAATCCTTCAGGAATTGCGCTAAGAGATTTTCATCCTACGAAAACTTTCTAACGGAAATGTCTTTCTTTTTCAGAAATATAACATTTTTAAAGTCTCTTGGAAGAAAACGATTTCTGATTCAAATTGAAATGTACGTGAAAGAACGATGAACCATGAACATATATTTATTGATAAAAGATAATTCGGTTGTTCAAAGAGGTTAATTGATGTAATAGAATAATGCATAGCGATGTACGAATGCTTTATCATTTACCTTCTAACATAGATAGACAACAAATATAAATTAAGGTTGATACATCTGTTTAAAAATTTATTGTTGACAGTTGTCTTAATAATTTTCATGAAATCTTTCTGATCAAATAATCATAGACAATACAATACATTTTTGCAAACAATTCTGTATATTTGTATTAGTATGTTTATATGTACTCAAATGTTAACTGCGAATGATACAACTAGTGTTAAATGTTTTCACCTGAAAATGAATTTATTTCTCAGAAATTGATCCGGGAATGAACTTGAATAGACTTTAAATAATGTCTCTTATCTCGTCTGATATTTCATTGTAATCTTTAACATGTCTATAAGATTTATTTTTGTACATACGTTCAAGTGTTAACTATTATCCAAGTTAATATATGGATATTTTAATTTTTAATCGGTTTTGGTAATGAAAATAATGAATACTTCGTGAGCTCTTTCTTTTATTTATTTATTTGACTTTTTATATCACTAGATAACATTAAACTACAATATAAAGTATTGAGTGACTTTTCTCATTCCATGTTTTGTTTTCTTTTTTAATGACAAAAAAAAATGAATCAGATTTCTTTTAAAACGCAAACCATTCTTTCAAATTAAAATGGAACATGATTGTTTGTGACACTCAATCACTCTATTTTTTAACAGTTCTTGATAATTTTCTTTTCAAAACGTCGTAAGAATCCTCTCTACTTATTCCTTTTGCTAATAATCAAGACAACTGCTGATGCTTTGAAGAAGATTGAAATGTCATAAACAGTAATCTATAATAACAATAATAAATTTACACGCCATACTAAAAGAATGTCCAGAAAAGTTATGATTTTTTTTCTTCTAAACATTTGCATTCAATATATCAGAACATGAGTTCTAGTGGACTCATTCTTATTCAGCAGGCAAATTATGCGGCTATCTTTATTCAACCCATACATTTGACGCTTACAATTGTTACCAATACTCTAAATATCTTTGTTCTATATCGTCGAACTCTTCGTTCGTTTCCATGTACTCGTTATTTTCTTGTCTATTCCATATTCAGTATTCTTTATGCATGTTTCACTTGTCCATTGCAATTTTTACGTAGTTATGGTATTCTTTGGACAAATACACCTGTCGGTTGTAGAATGCAAACTTATATTTTTCAAACAACAACATCAATAGCTAATTTAATGATTCTTTTAGCTTCAATCGATCGTTTTTGTTCAAGTTCACAATCAGCTAAATTTCGTTCAATTAGTTGTATGAAAACAGCACGATGGATAATTTTTATTGGAATTATTGTTTATACTATCTATATGTCACCATTACTGGCAATTAGTTATTGGAATAATACATGTCTTCAATATTCTAGTATATATATTACTATTTATATGTCAACTCAAATAACTGTCTATTACGGTTTAACACTTTTACTGATGGCTTTATTCAGTCTTTTGACAATATTCAACATTCGACAACAGTTAACTCGAGTTGGACCTATGATTCGATTTAATGGAAATCGTCGTACTGAAGGACAATTATGTCGAATGTTACTTATACAAATCATTGCTTATCTTTTATTTACATTGCCAATTGGAGTAATTCAAATCTTAATGACATTTTTACCATCAATGCGAACACCATTAATTCAAGGTTTACGTTTGGTTTTCGTTATGTGGCAACAATGCATATTTTTTTTAACATTTTTTCTTTTTATTGCATCAGGAAGTATTTATCGACAAGAAATGATTCGATTATTTAAACGAATATATAAACGTGAGGACTTAACTCAAACCCATACACATACAATTCAACCTTTACCTGGTGGAACTAACACCAAACATATATGAGCAAATCAAAAAAAAAATGAAAACGAACATTTACTTGTAGTGTATATTATTAATAAACTAAACAATAAATTTATTATAAAAATAATTTGTAACATAATCATTATGTAAATCGAAAGTACCTGCGAAAAAATTGCCAAAATTTGTATTGCGTAAAATCGCTTGATAGAAATTGCTTGATTCAAACAAGGTTTTTGAAAAATCAAGTCTTGTCATATTACTTGAATAGAAATCAGAGAAATGAATCATAATAGAATAAAATCGATAAAAATCGGCATATTTTCCTTAATAGTTTATTAGATTAAATTCAAATAAAAATTAAAGAGTAAATTCTTGCGTGAAAGATTTAACCGTTGCAAAGCCAGCAATATTTTTAATAAACTGATTAATGATTGGCATAGTTCAATAATGAATGAAATATTATTTGATACATAAAGATTGCTCATTTCTTGAAAATAATCTACAAGAATGGTTTCACGTTCAATATCGACATTTAGTTCACGATTTTGTGTAATATGAGCTTCTTTGAGTGTGACTTTTTGAGTTCATTTTTGTTCGGTAATACTTGTTTCATTAGCAATAATTATATCATTCTAACGACTTTCTGGAATGATATTTTGTTGAACAATAGCTAATTTCACTATAGAAATGCCTACAAGTAGAGGAATCTTCTAAGAATTAACAGTTTGACAAGTTGTTTAATCAATCGATGAATAAGATATGTTTATCTAATCAGAATTATTCGATAGACAGCAATGATTGAAACTAATACTACGATACTTTTTCATGTTAGTTTAGAATGATTATCTTTTCTTTCGATTTATTTATTATGAATTAACATTCTCTTTGAAATTTTTAAAATAAATTTAAAAGTATAATTATTCTTGATTATCTATTTTAGAATATATATCAAGACTGTCAAAAATAAATCTTACAGTATTCAAGAAATTGGTGTCGATAAAATAGCTTCATTATGTTCAGTACACATCAGTCATTCAGTATTAGAACTAGTTATCAACATTTCAAATTGTTTGAATAATTCTATCTATTCTTTGTTTGCTTCAAGTTGAACATTGATCGTGACCTATTTTATTGTTTGATATCAATATCGAACTATATCTTTCAATGTTTTGACGCTACAAGTCATCCAACAAGTATATGATATGAAATCTTTGTAATGAATTGGATAACATGATACCAATGAAGCCTACTCAAGATTGAAATTCAAATGATCTTTTGCAATATGATCATCAAGTTTAATACAACATAGATCAACGCAATTTCAAAGTTCTTGAGATCGAAACCAAACATATTCACATTTTGTTCCATGTAAACTTTGAATTTTATTTTTTGCTTTCTTTGAAACGTTTCGGATCTTATTTACATGCATATAAATTTTCACAATCAAATTCACGTTGATAGGAATGCCAGAAATATTCATAAATTGATATCAAACAGCAAAATTCATATAAAAAATACTAAGTTCTTTTCGATTTGAAAATGTTGGATGTGTCATTTGTTGTGTAAATCGAATTTGAGACCAATCAGAAGGTTTTAACGGTTGTGTTGGAATAATACAATAAGCTCGTTGACGAGAATTGACACTATGTCGATTAGCTCGACACATGTTTATCTTTAAAAAAAGTTTGCAAATCTTTAAACTTCTTTTAAAATTGTTTGGAAATAAGCAAAGCTGAATATGATATGCAGTTCATGTTGTCACCTTTTTGATATTTATAGTTTATTTTTTCTTTAGACTTTTACATAGTCAGATGACTCAGGCTTAAGAAAGAGATGAAGTGAAACAAGTACTTTTGTAAAACACTTAGTGAGCTTTTTTATCAAAAAATGAGTTTTTGAAAAGATTTGTATAGTTTTATTACCACTTTTTTTTCGATAATAACATCTATTCACTGTTTATCTTATTTTCAAAACTATATTTTTTCTTGGCAATTGATTGCAATCATTAATATCAGCATTTTCGCTGTTAAAATATCCTTTCTTTCAATTTTATCAATATAATCTAGAAAAATGTAGGTGTGTGCGTGAGAATAGAACATAGTTATTCGAATCGCATACGAGCTCACACACACATCCTATTAGTGTTCAACCATAATTTTGTTGTGGTAAGTCAACTACTATTGAGAATCTTGTTATGATTTCATATGAATATTTGTGTGATAGTTAGAAATCGAAATAGCAATTACACTTTTAGTCGATAATAATTATTAGCATGATTTACTATATTTATCAAGACAACAAGAAACAATTACTACTTCCCGACAGAGACATGCCTGAGACTAGTATTATCATTAACGTCATTGAAGCTCGACAGTCTACAGATACTGGTTAACTAAACGAGTTCAATAGGCGTTTAGAAACACAGAAAGTTCCTGTTTCATGCTTCATTCAAACTTTTTAACTTACGCGCAAGAATTAGTTTTCATTAAAAGATTATTCTCATACTAATTAGATTGAAATCGTTTCCATACCTAAGTAAGTACTTATATACTTTCAATACTTTATAATTAACAGAAAGCGGCTTTTTAATCTACTTATGAGAAAACTTCTTCGAATGTCTCTTCCAATTTCAATGATTTTTGCCTAGGGGATACCTACATAGTGTTCCAATAAGAGGGTATACAACATTCATTTTTTGAAAGCTTCATATCTCAAAAAGATTTTGTTCAAAATGTTCGATTTTCTTTATGAAAGTTCAGAAAATAGATATATTAAAAATTCGCAGCTTACTTAAATATCAGTAGAAATCGAAATCTTTTTTTTGGTTTTTTATCAGTACACTCTACAGTATCTATAGGCAAAAAGTCATTGAAATCGGAAGGGAGTAGCGTATTTGCCATTAAAGTGATGCACGGTAAAGATATTTCGATTTACTCAGCAATTTAAGACGAGCAAGAAGGCATCATTATGCCTGGAACTTGCGACCGTGTGAAGAATCATCCCATCCGCTTTAACAACTGTCTTCTGATTGTTCACTTGGAAGAAAAATCTATATCTGATCAAAATAAACAATGGTGAATCTGTACAAATGATTTTATTAAACTAAATCTGTTTATGCACTAGTGAGACAGTTCTCTAAACACTGTAGTCTTTAACTGTAATACAGTTTGTCTTAAAACACTTGACAATTTTTCGATTCAAATTATCTGCAGCATCGGACCAATTAAAACATACATCACTACATTTCGTTCTCTGGTGTATATTGAGACCACATTTAATCGCTATAGACTATTTTACAATCAATTTTTTACTGCTTAATCTTGCGCGTTCCGTGAGATCTTTGATGGCTATAATGGAACTACTTATATCTTCAAGTTGGTTACTTACTTGATGATGAAAAAAAAAGAGGCCTGATGTTGATGATATTTCTTTTCTATCTCAGCGTAGAATCATTTTAGAGTGCCAACGTGTCCGTAGTTAGTCCATGATATCTTCTACAGACTTCGTTTCCAATGCTTGAATCGAACATAATTTCATTATTTATTTCTTTATTATATCTAAATAGCAATAATTTAAAATTCACTAACATAGTTGATTGACAACCTTTGAAAATTATATCGATTCTATTTTTGAAAAATATTTGGCATTAGTTAGTTACGAAAGAAGAATATCTAGAAATACATAAGGCAACAAATATTCATAAAAGTACCTGAAATTTTACATTATTTAAAGATGTATTGACAAAAAAAGAAGATGGGTGAGGAAATATTTACTTGCTATTTAATAGACTAGCGTAGAACTATCAAATCATGTAACTAAATTCTTTTGCAATTATGTAGTTACATAGAAATAAGTCGTAGTTTTGTAATAACAGTGAATATTGTAGAAAAATCTCTTCCACTTGATCAGTCGAGATTGTTGAATATTTATTTAACTATGGATCAAATTCATGTATACATGAAAAATTTCGAACAATCGACTCTTTAATACGAGAAAATCGATGTACTTAATGGTTTTCATTCGACCAATGTTTTGTGACAGAAACTATCTAATCGAATAATAGAATTTACATGTATTCGATGTCATCGACGAATGTGGATCTATCGTCGTTTTGCACAGATGAAAGATACTCGATTCAATTGTCTTATTTTTCATGATTTCGGATGCTTTCTTCTCGATGTTGTACGATATTATTCTCATTATTAAATAGTTTCGATTTTTTTATATACTTTTACATCGATTCTCTTACTGTCAAACGATTTACCCTCAGTAAAAATTGGCAAGTTTTATCGCTGATCAATTGCAAAATAGCATAAATCAATCATGTCTCTAGATTAGTAATAAATACCGAAGCCAAATTGAGACGAATTCCTTCAAGTTTTATTAATTCAGTTGTTTTTTTTTAATTTGTATTTCAATTCGTCTGCAAGATGTCACCAGTCTTGTCAACACGTGGCAAAACTGGTTGTCGTTTTGTTTTGATTTCGATTGATGGTCTCTCTCTGATGATTTGATACAACAGTGATTATTTGTGGTTGTGTGTCTAGTAACAGATCTTCGCTGCATCCACTCATTTCCATCCTGCATTAATATCAATATAAAAAATTGAGAATTTTCGGATGTGGAAAAACGATCTTATGAGCCTTTGTTTTTGAAAGCGCTTGATAATTCAGTATATGTATTTCGAGTATTTTGCTCAACTCTTATATGTATTGTAGACCTGAAAATTTGGATGCACATACTTCATCAAGAATGTAGATCAAAAATAAAAACTTTCGTTAGTTTTTTAAATATGAAAGGGATTATGATGGATCAAACTGAAGAACACCTATTGTTTCCGTGATGGTGTGGACCTTTTATTCATTTGATGAGGACTGTACAATTATATTATTATTAATAAACAACTACAAAAGTTTTTAGTATTCTTTATAAAAATTGTTTATTATATACAAAGTATTTTGTTCATGATTAAAATTTTATTACATAAAAATAATCAACAAAAAGAAAAATATGAATTTTATATAAAACAAAAATGAAATTAATTACTTATCAAATAGTTTTGTTTTCAATTTTATTATACATGATTTTTATATAGAATGATTATTTTGGTATTTCATATTCTTCCTTCTGCAATGTCATTACAAACATAGATGGTGATTGTTTTGCTGGCGCTGTATAAAGTGGTCTATTTATACCATAACATTGTAGTTGATCTTGAAATTTTGCATTACCCCAACTATTCAATATATATTGAATAGAACCTAATCTATTAATTACAATAGTTTCTTTATCAGTATTTTTATAATTAAAAGGTTGATACGGACAAAAAAGTAAACCACATGATGGAGTCCATGTTCGATCACTAAACGATGCAGTTACTGTACCATTTAATGAATCAGATGATTTAACATAACTAAGAGATCCAATATAATATCCAACATATCTATTTTGTAATATAAATGTGGCTTGAATGGATAAATAACGATATATACCAGGATGTGGATCAGTTAAATATTTAAAATAATAATTTAATACAGGTTTACATGGTACAGTTGATAATGTTTGACTATTGGTTTTATTTATTATGAATATAATCATCAATAATGATATAAAATAACATTTATTTATTGCCATAATTCAATTTACTGTTAATAATAAATATATTCGAATTGTGAAAATAATGTAATATTCGAATTTTTTTCAAACTATTTATATGTAAAATGATCAAGTATTTATTATATATTATACTTCCTTTGTGTGCTTGTTTTTTCTCTCTCTATTGTTTGTGACAAGATAGATAGAGAAAAACAGAAAAAAAAAGTCAAATAATCATTCACATAATCATGAAGACAAAAAAAAGAAACTTGCGAGCAATGAGATGTGATTATACATGACACAAATGCTTGATACTTTTTTAAACATGACTTATGATGATCATATGACCAAAGAGAAGAAATAGTCATGTTTTGTCGTGTAATATTCAAATATGTACAATCTAAAATACGTTTGATCAATATACATTCCATTAATGAACTTTAATTTCATTGTTCAAATGATGTTATACTTTTTCTAATTATAAGTAGAAATTAAATAGAGTTATACATTGTAGAAAAATTTATGCACTGTACCATACATAGACCATTCACTTAAAGTAGATAGTATTGTGAATGGCTCAGTGTATGAACAGTGCATATGAGACTCGTAGTGCATAGCATTTAGTCCATTTAAATTGCATACACAATGTATGATATAAGAGAATAACATACATTTGCAGTGCATACGTATATTTTTTTTTACAGTGTATCTAGTTAGAGTTATAGAATTATATGTGGTATCTAACTACTGTTGCTCAGTACATCATTATTTCAGGTATCTGCCTAACTGATCTGTCTAGATCTACTTGGATATATTTGCTTTTGAAAGATGGTTAGAAATTTGTAAGAAAAAATTATATTCTAGAATAGACGATGTGGTAAAAAATCAATGAAATGACTTATTTCTGTTTGCAATCTAATATTATTACTAAATTTTAGAAAAACGACTATTATCATGAAATGAGAAAGTTATGAAAAGTTTTTATGATTTTATTCTCTCGTAATATCGTAGTTTTGAAATGACAATTCATGATTTTGTCATCAATTTTTATTACATTGTCGTAGCTCTTGACATTTGGTAATGATTTTCGTTATTTTCGATAATTTAATTAGTTATACATTTGCTTGCCAACAGGAATAAGCTAGTGAAAGAAATATGTTTGTATAGAGATCTAAATCAATTAAATTATATTTCTTTCTTTTTTAAACATATTTTAAATTTCCACGATAATGAGTGTGTAAACTGAAATATATATTATTAACTAAATATGATTTTAGTTTAGATAAAATACGAAATAGATTTTATTTTTAATTATAAAACCAAAGAAACAAATTTCATTCTATGAAATTTTTTACTAAAACAATTCAATTATGACATTATTATATGCATGACATTGTATTCACATTTATTTTGCTTACGTAGAAATGGGCGTTTTATAATATATGATTTATATATATCTATTCTGTCATTTAAGGTCGTGGCTACTAATATACACAATCATGAATAATTTTCTTTTCTATGAATCACTCTTTTACATTGTATGTATTTGTAACGTGAAAGTATAAAATGTTTATAATACAAAATGAATAAGAAATGAAATGATGTCCTTTGTTTTTATAGACCACGAGGTGCAGTACTAAACTAGGCATGCACCAAATTTGATAAACTAGTATATCAGTTAACTGGATCAGTTAGCTTGTCATAATTGGTCTTCCTATTTACTTCTCAGTTACTTCATGCATCCATTTTAATCAACTATTATTTAATTAGCATTTTATCTACTACTTTTTCAGCATTTTTTCCAAAAAGTCTCTGAAAACTTTCTTCAAGTACTTTCCACAAACTTTTTCTATTGCTTTTCAAGTACTGCTCAAACATTTTTCCAACTAATATTCACGTAGTTGTTCCAAAGGCTTCCTCAATTAATGTAAAAGTACTTCGAATAAATACAGTGAGAAAAATAGTAAAAATGTATTTAGAAAAGTACTTGAAAAGTAGTGAGGATGAGTGTGGGTTTGGATTTTATAGTTTTACCAGCTTCGCCGTTTCCCCCTTGATGAGTACCGTGTGAATACTCTTCTATGAGCACTTTTACTCGAATATACTTTCAGATCTTTTTTCTATATCACAAAAAATTTACAATCGTGCTGATTTTTTTATTTGAAAAAAATAATATCGAATATACTATACGAAGATGAGAAGAAATAATCAATGATAATTCAATTAACAGGCGGTATCTACACATTTTAGTGTGTTTAATTCTATCATTAAGTATATCAAACCATTTTCCTAATAAGTTTTCATAAAGATCTTCTTGATAACAGATCCATTTCATTAGATGATTTATTTATACAAGCAAATCGATAGATTCATTATAATAGCCCTAGTCAATTGATAATTTTCTTCTGCAAACTGCTTAAAAATGTTTTTTCATAAGAGTAGAATTCTACCAAAAATGGCATGAATAATATATTTTATACCAAAAGAAAGTTTGTTGAAAAAAGATATAAAAATACGATTTTCATTATCATCTCACCAAATATTTCGGCATGCCACAAATATAGTTATATGCTAATGAAACTTGTTTCTTGTTTGATTTTTGTGTTGTTGACTTATGTACAAAAAATATCGATTCATGTTTGTTTAAATTGACAATAAAAATTGAAGTCTACTTTCTCGAAGAATATTTACCCTACTTGTAAATTCATTTTTGGACAGGCTTTTATTGCGCTATTAAATTAATTGTTTATACCACTTTATAGTGGTATTCTACCATAATGAAAAAATCTTTTCAACATTTCTCCACATAAATACATAAATATGTTCAAAGTTCTAAACATTTCAAAACTTGATAAACATTCTTCCAATCAATAACATATATTCGATTCGTATTAATACATCAAATTGTGGAAATAATCAATATATTTGATACAATAGAGATATTCTCATCATTTTTTTTACTCAACATTTGATGATATATACTTAAAAAAATCATGACAAGTTTTTCTAACTGTTAATTTTATAATACTTAGTATTAATATTGTTGGTCTACTAAGAACAAAAGACAGCATAGATTGAAAAACTTAGCAATATATAAATATTTTTCGTCAATGAAAAGTCTGCTGGTTTATTTTAAGAAAATTAAATTTCATTTCAAAGGTCAACAGCGTACTTATCATAGTTATAAGTCATTTCTAGTAAGAATAGCTAAATTAAATTACTATTACACATGCCAGAATATAAGGCAGGTGAATGTTTTTCGAATAACTTTCGATAGGAACAAGCTAGAGACCTGTAGTTGTCACCATTCAATAGAAGTTAGAGGATGTGCGTATGTGGATGTGGATATCTATCTTCTAGTTACAACCAAATCCGGACTCACACCCTTCTATCAAATGATGAAAACTATCAAAAATCGTCCAAAGTAACTAATTTGAATCTATCTTATAACAACGAAAACACTAAAAGCAGTCAAAAGCGATCATTGTAGGTCAAANATCTTTCTTCATACCTAATTTTTTTAAAAGATACCGGAAATGTCGGTTGTTCAAAATTAATCTCAGGTTAACAGGTTACGATATGGACAACCTGTAACCTACCCTGTAAAAATTTCATAACCTGGCCCTGCCCTGCCCTGCTATTTTCGCAGCCTGCCCTGTCCTGCCCTGTCAGGGCAGGGCAGGGCAGGGCAGGTTACCTGCATCCTGCAGGGCTCTACATTTAATCTACTCTGTTATATAGTCTAGTTTAAATTTATTCCTTGAGACTGGAAACAAAACAAAAACGTATATACAGGGTGTACCATAAATAACTTTACGATAAAAAAAGTAATATCTCGTCACTGATTCAACGGATCGGATTCATTTTTTCCCCATTAATAGAGAATATCTCAAAGATTTTTTCATAAGACAACTGTCGTTAGATGCTCCTTTGAGCTATGACTTTTCAATAAAATACAAAATGTTAGTTTTCCAATTTTGGTAAAAGTCGTCCCTGCCCATTTGAGATTATTAGACTTGGCTGAATTTAATATATTTTATACAAGGAAGAGTTTTTACGAACATTGGTAAGAATCATTTAAAAAAATCTTGAACCTCGATTTTTAATGAATTTTCCCCCAAAAGTTCTAAAATATCAGTTTTCGTAGAAAGTGAATATATTGAGAACTCAATATCTCAAGACCGCCTAGACCAATCAAGCTGAAATTTCCAGAAATGATAGATATCTTTTAGTTCTAATTATAGTAAAAATTTCAAACATCCATCTCTCTCTAGTCACGAGATATAAATAATAAAATCTGCCTAAAATCGTGATTTTGATGAGTGAGATCGTTAGAATATCCACGACTAAACTCTTCGAGCTGAAAGTTATACTACGCGTACAACTCAGCGGTATATATATACAAAACAAAATTTAGCTTGATTGGACAAGGTGTTCTTGAAATATTAAGTCTTCAATGTTTTCACTTTCTCCAAGAACTGCTACTGTAGAACTTTTACAAAAAAATTCATTAAAAATCAACGGTTCAAGATATTTCGAAAAGACTTTCAGCAACATTGATAGAACTCCTTCCTCTATAAAATACGTTTAGTTCAGTCAAATCCGATTATCCCAATAGAACAGAAACAATTTTGACTGAAATTGAAAATCTCATTTTTTCGTATTTTATTGAAAAGTCCTATCTCAAATAAATATCTATTGATAGTTTTCCCATGAAAAAAAATTCTGAAGTGTCCTCTATAAGCAGGGAAAAAATGAGCCTGATCTGTTGAACCAGTGACAAGATATTAGTTTTTTTTATCGTAAAGTTATTTATGGTACATCCTGTACATTTTCAGGTCTGATTTATTACAATAATTATTTCATTAGTCAATATTGACTGTGGATACGGGTATCAGTTCGAATCTATTTATAATAATGTGTAGGGTGTGGGTGTTTTCTATTCTCACCCATACCCGCACCCAATTTGAAATTGTTGTTCTCTGTGATAAATTATATGTATCAGAACGGCATCATAATTATGATCAGTGTCGTCCAATAGGTATACATTTTGTTTCATCCCGTTGGATTCTTGAAGCCGTACTTAAATATCGTCCAAAATCGTTTTCGTTATATGAAGAACTCCATTATAATTGAAATTTACTTATTTATTTTGTTTTGTCGTTTTTATATCAAATATTTTTTGTATACAAAAGAAATATAAATCAAGATATATTTGGTTAAGAATGAGCTCTATTATTTGCTTGACTTCTAACTTTATTCTTTTATTGCAATAGATAATAATTTTAAAAAAAAACAAAGGTCTAATAATAAAGAAAATATGACGACAACAGCAAGTACATCGTCAAATTTACCTGATAAAGATCAAATTCGTATACATGTTCGACGTGACGGTTTGATTGAAAGACAAAGATTTAATGGAGTTTGGAGACAATTATGTAAATATGATGGTGGAGAAGAATGTCAGGCATTTGTAGCTAATAGGAGTCTTTGTGTTGGACATTATCATCAAACATCAGATATAACTGTTAATGAATCAAAACATAGACAATTAATTCAACAATCAGTAACTGCTGTTGCATCATCAAAGGCAACAACAGCAACAATGATACCATGAAAAATTCGATGTTGTTAGTATTCTAATTAATATTTAAATTTTCTTAGAATGAATTTTATTTTATTTTTAGCTATTGAAACACCTTTAATTCTTGGTCCTAAAAGTAGGTTATTGATTTATTTAATGATATATTTCTTTTTTGTTTGAATTCTAAATAGATTGGCGACGAAAAAGAGCATAATCGAATTGTAAGTGATATTAATATTATTGGAGCATTTTTGCGTGCATTGAATGGTATATAAGAAATCAACATTGACTCAAATTTTAATGTGCTCTAAGTGCATAAATTGGTTATCATCTTTGAAGAATATAGATATTGTGGTTATTAAGATAAAATCATGCAAATTTTGTTTTTAAAATGAATTTGATACAGTTATTGGTTCTCTTCAATCACCTATAATCAATAGTTTTCTTCATGCTTAGAGGTGATTCGTTTTTCTTAGATCTAGATTATATCTTGACGATATTTTAACAATACGTAACGATCCTTTCCAAAACTGTTATATATCTATAATCAGCACAGCATCCCCGATGAACTGATACGAAATAACTCTTTTATAAATAGAAAAACAAATTGGCTGGCCTCCAGACCGTTAGCAGTGGATACGGAAATAAGGTGACAGGAAAGAAATCTGCTATTTGTATTACTTCTTTTTCAAAGTTTTATTTAGAGTATTCAGGTTGGCTTTATACATAAAGCTCTAGACGATTCTCTAAATCTCTTATGTTCATGTCACTGTAGTTCCCTCCAGGGATCTATCTGGAGACCAATTTTTTTTTTCTATTTATTAAAAAAGTTATTTTTATCAGTTCATCAGCAATGCTGTGCTACTAATAAATACCATATAGTGAATACCATGTACATCAGAATATGACTTTAACGTTGATATCTTATAATACCATTCTATGCACCGCCAATTGCTATCTTAAAACCATAGATATGATATCCTTTCAAATGCAATCACTAATTTTTGCTGTGAATTTCATCCTAAAATAAAAGGATGCCCATTTTATATCTGTTCGGAAAATATTCTTAGGAGTGTTTCTTATCCCTTTGCTCTACTAATCAATAAATTAGTCATATATATCATATTATTCTTATATGATTTAGCATCAATATCTGTAAACAAATAATCATCGCAAATATCCTCTACAACTCTGGTCAATAATAATAGTAATAAACGTGGAAAGTCAGATGAATGGGTTCTTCTTAAACGACGTCGATATGATTCAACTCCAAAATAGTATGATACATGTTTCGTGTTATAACAAAATCGAATTTGTTTGTCTTTTTTCTAATAAGAATGACTTCAACAACATCATATGGAATAATTCAACTTTGAACAAGACCATAAAATAAAATGTAGGTATTAGTTTTAATTTTTGTTTTCTTTTTCTTTTTTATATCATATGAAGGATGGTAAGTTCTTCTATGATTTTTTTTAATAATTCATTTTTTTTCTTTTTCTTTTAGTCATCAATATCATCGCATCACGTGATCGTTAACAGGGTGAGTTATTCTTTTTTTTTCTTTTTTGAGTATGAGAATAGAGGGTGAGTTCTGTCCGTTGAGGTTAGGTTCGCGTTATAAGAAGGACTTCCGGGTAGTCCCTAAAAGCCCGGCCAGGAACTGCTTTGGTGTCCGTGGCACACGACTGGGCCCTCAGACTCACTGACACATGACATCGGATGGGTGCATGTGGATGACGTGGGTCTTCCCACGCGTGCACGAGCCTTACGCTCGCCACGGCTCCACCAGGGTAGTTCCTGGTCGCGCGCGCGCGAATAGAATAAGCATTGTTTTCATCAAATCAGCGTGAATTTATTTGAAAAGAAAGAAAAAAATCTATCGTGTTCAGTTCATTCGATTGAAAAACGTTGAACACGATGATTTCTCACATCGACGACGTAGAGATTGCCTTGTCGATCGAAGGACAAACCCTTGGGACGGTTGAACTGATTTTCACCTGCTCCTTGGCCATTTCCACCCACAATGACAGTGCCTTGTTTCGCTTCTTTAGGCCAACGCATCACTCGATTATTCCACGAGTCTGCCACATAGATGGTACCCAACGTATCGACGAACAGTCCATTAGGATAATAGAATTGTGTCAGAGCATTCCCTTGGCCTTGACCTCCAGCGACGACAATTCCTTCTTTTGCACCTTTATTCCATTTCATCACACGATGATTATAGGTGTCTGACACGTAGACAGTCTGTTGTTGATCGACAGAGATGTAGTGCGGATTGTTGAGTTGATTGAGACCATCACCTTCGCCATTGCCACCAGCCACGAGAGTTCCATTCTTGTCTCCTATTTGGTATCGTCTTACTTCATGTTCCTCGTAGTCAGAGATGTAGAGATATCTCTGATCATCCATGGCCAGTCCCCAAGGATCGACATTGTCTATGAGGATTTCTCCTTGAGTCGTGCCACTGCGACGAGACCATCGCACAACTCGTCGATTCAGCCAATCGCAAATAATAAGACTATCAGTCTCTTTGTCGATCAGCACATTGGTTGGTTGATCCAATTGATCCAATCGATTTCCTTTGCCATTGCCACCAGCTACTACTTGTCCATTCGTATTACCCTTCTTCCATTGGATGATACGATGATTCCAGCAGTCAGCGATGACAATCGTTTGATCATCATCAACGAAGAGACCAAAAGGGCACCAGAGTTGATTTGTGGCTTTGCCCCATCCGTGGCCTTCAGCAACGGTCACACCTTTCTGTGCCCATCGGGCATCGGCTGGAATATTGGGGATAACTACAATGAACGAGAAAAAGAATCATTATCGTCGTTATCTATGAATAACAAATTCTTCTTCTTCGAAGGGAACTTGATAAAACTTTCGAGAATGTCTTTCTCTAGCATGCTCTAAACAAGCGAAAGNTTTTCTTTGCTCTACCGTGCTTCGAAAGTAAATTATAACGGGTGTGTTCTACGAAATTTCGAAACTTTTGAAAGTTTGTTAGAAAAAAATATGTCAGAACCCTTACAATTTGGCATCAGGAAACCCCATTTTTTACGGGCTTTCATTTGGTATAAAATTCATTAGGGTTGGTATTCAGAATTGTAGCGTTACCCCCCTGGAATAATATTATTTCCAACCCTATATATGTTCCGGAGGAGAGCCGCAATGCCTTTACTACTCGCAGTCTGAACAAATCGATACTTTCAACACGAAAAGTATTAGAATGCAGTGTTTGCATCGTGTTGCTGTTGAAGCTAGACGATTGCGATTGACAAATCAATGTTCTTCATTTAAAGGGATGTGAGTGTGGACGTGGATCTAATTGATAGTTCAAACTACACTCATTGTTACAGCAAGACGTTAATATTTTAGTCTATATGATCCTCAAACATAGTATCATTGACATTGATAGAAGTCTTGTTTACAGATAGAATGCATCCATCGTGCGTCGCATTCTAATTTTAGAGAGATTACGTTGAAAGCTTTTTTCCAATTGTGTTGTCCTGCATTTTCCCCACCTTGCTTATTCTTATGCGTATTTTATTTTACCTAGGCAAATCTTTAACAACTTCCTCATACGATTTGTCTTGCATAGAAACGAACAGTATTTGTTTTACTTTTAGTCGACGACATTTTATATTGTAAGGTAAATAAAAGATTACTATAATTCTTCAGTAATATTAAAGTGTTTCAATTTTCGTTTCAACTAGTATTTTCATCACATTGGTTCAATAAATGGTTTATGTCTATTCTTTATAAAGTCTACAAGTTTAAAGAAAAAAGCCACTGAATACCATACAAAATTTGAAATAATTCTCATTACAATACTTTAGTATGTGTAGTACAAGAGCAATAGGTATTGATTTCGGTACAGTATATTCATGTGTCGCTGTATTTCAAAATGGCAAAGTTGAAATCATTTCTAATGAACAAGGCAATCGAATAACGTCATCATGTGTTGCATTCACCAATAACAAACGTTTGATCGGTGATGCAGCTAAAAGTCAAATATCTATGAATCCAAAGAATACAATTTTTGGTTTTAAACGACTTATTGGTTGTAAATTTGATGATGCAACTGTACAAGCTGATATGAAACATTGGCCATTTAAAGTAATTAATGATAATGGTAAACCAAAGATTCAAGTTGAATATAAAAATCAAATAAAATTATTCACACCTGAAGAACTATCTTCAATGATATTAGCAAACATGAAGGACATAGCGGAAATTTATCTTGGTAGAAAGATTTCTGAAGCTGTTATTACTGTTCCAGCTTATTTTAATTATTCACAACGTCAATCTATAAAAGATGCTGGTATTATTGCTGGTCTTAATGTATTACGTATTATAGATGAATCGACAACAGCTGCTATTGCTTATGGTTTAGTTAACAAAATTTCAGCTGAACGAAATGTATTGGTTTTTGACTTGGGTGCTAGCAATGTTAATATAACAGTTTTGACAATTGAAGAAGATATTTTTGAAGTTAAATCAATAGCAAGTAAATAATAAGAAATTTGATCTTTTTCAAAAAATGTTTATTTTGATTTGTTATTGAAGGTAGTACACATTTAGGTGGAGAAGATTATGTTAATCGAATAGTTGAATATTTTGTTCGAGAATTTAAACGTAAACATAATAAAGATTTACAAGATAACAAACGTAGTCTTCAACGACTACGTAATGCTTGTGAATGTGCTAAAGTAAATTCAATATTAGTTTATCATAGAATCAGAAAAAAAAATTTCAATCACTTGTTTTTCTTTCTCTAGCTTACTTTATCATCATCATGTCAAGCATCAATTGAAATCGATTCATTACATGAAGGTATTGATTTCTATTGGACAATAACTCGTGAATGTTTTGAAGAACTTAATATTGATTTATTTCGTTCAACAATCGAACCTATTGAAAAAGCTTTAGGTGATGCTAAAATGGATAAAGCAAGTATTCATGAAATTATTCTTGTTGGTGGTTCAACACGCATACCAAAAGTACAACAAATTTTACAAGATTTCTTTAATGGTAAACAATTAAATAGATCAATGGAACCAGATGAAGCTACCCAGGACGATGATTACGACGATCCTAAACGACCGTTTACGGTCGTTTACGGTACCGTAAACAGTCGTAAACGCTGAAATTACGATCGTAAACGGGCCGTGTTTCACCCGTTTGGTAGCGACCGTATTACGGCCGTACCACGCCGTGACGTATACGGCGAAACGCACCCACCATAAACACTGAAACCTGTGCCGTAAAACGGCCGTCTTTCAACGGATACGCTAGCGTATACGGCCCGATTTCACCGTCAAAGAACAATGATTCCGGACTCAGGATCCTCGAAGATCTCACTACGCTATTCACTTCAATTAAGATCTTCGAGGATCCTTGAGGATCTCAATTCCTGCCACACACAAACTGAGATCTTCGAGGATCCTTAAGGATCTCAATTCGTGCCACACACAAACTGAGATCTTCGAGGACCCTTAAGGATCTCAATTCCTGTCACACACAAACTGAGATCTTCGAGGATCCTTAAGGATCTCAATTCCTGTCACACACAAACTGAGATCTTCGAGGATCCTTAAGGATCTCAATTCGTGCCAGACACAAACTGAGATCTTTGAGGATCCTTGAGGATCTCAATTCATGCCACACACAAACTGAGATCTTTGAGGATCCTTGAGGATCTCAATTCATGCCACACACAAACTGAGATCTTCGAGGATCCTTAAGGATCTCAATTCGTGCCCCACACAAACTGAGATCTTCGAGGATCCTTAAGGATCTCAATTCGTGCCACACACAAACTGAGATCTTCGAGGATCCTTAAGGATCTCAATTCGTGCCCCACACAAACTGAGATCTTCGAGGATCCTTAAGGATCTCAATTC